GGGAGCGTGCAGTGATGGACAGGGAGCTGTCTCACCCCCCTCCAGATCAAACATAAATTTGTGCATCTTCAAAAATGCCTCAGATCTATTCTAAAGACCCTCAGCTAATAGTACATAACAATGGTTTTGTGAGATAAGTGTCTTTGCTAAAGATGCTGGGGTTTATAGGATCGCTTGCTGTTCCCAGACTGGGACCGTGCAGTGATGGACAGGGAAAAGTGTAAACAACAACTGTGATCCCAACCAAAGTAATGCTGACACTGAAGATCATAGTATTGTGACCAAAACCATAGCTGTGACACGGAGTAACCATACAATAAAAATAGGTTCTTAGACATAGAGTGGATGACTGGCAATGTTTTGAAAAGGCAAAAACCATAATGCATCTGTAAACCCAACAGCCAAAAAAAACAAAGGTGGAGTGCAATGCTTGCAATGAGAGGTTTAACTTTGATTGGGTAGGTATGACACAGAATGACATTCTGATATTGAATCTGTAGGGTTTCTGTGTTGCTCAGAAAATTGTGATGTTAAAGCCACGGCATTAAAAACTGGGTTCAGTTACATGAACAAATGTGATGCAATCAGCAGTCTAATACATAATAAATCAGATGTTACCAGAAAAAAGTAAAATTGATGTATCACATAAGCATTGGTGCTCAAACAGAGCTGGATTATCTAATTTTGGGGGCTTATTGTGGTAAAACAGACAATAAACAGATGGTTTCCCAGGATAGGGAGGTCAAGCTAAATGGTGATACAGAAGTGTTAAGTAGTATTATATGTAGTGCATCCATCACCCAAGGAAATTGTTCCTCATGTCATTCCCTCCAAAAGTGAAATGCACAGCATGTGCAGAAGTGATGTCGATGGTATGAGAACACCCCTGAAATTAAAACATGAGCACAGTGGTAATTTTCCAAAACCAGCTAAAATAACCCAGGAAACTTTGCAGAGTCAGTATGTATATCTTTAGTGTCATAGTTAATTCCATGGGATTAGAAGACCTGTCTGCTCATATTTATGACACCTGCATTTTCATGGGTAGTAGATACAGTAACACACCTGTCACACAGTTTATTTCCAATCTCAGAAGTTGAGTGTCACAACTGAACACTAGCAGTGTCCCCACTGTTACAGGTGCTGAGGACTCAGCACTGTTGATTTTGGATGCATAGAGAATGTGAATTCTCCATTTCTTCACCATTTAAAAAATGTACATTAAGGCAATGGCAGATGTAAACAGACAGGAGAACAAAGAGCCCAATGACTATTTTGGTTCAAATTAAATTTCCTGTCGTCAATCCCAATATGGACAGACATACTAATGGGCAGATTTCAGCAATATGAAAAGATGGATGGACTACATACATTTCTGAGATAAAGTTCCAAATGAATGTGTGGGAAGGTTAGGAACTCTTTTCAAAGCACATGAAAGGGAATTTTGTGATAAGATAAGACTGAATTTGTGTAGAATAACTATGTCTCCTGCCCTTGTGGAAGAGGAGCAATGGAACAAGAAAAGACAATTCCACAAAATCTCAGGTATTCATTCCAATAATCCCCTATTGTCACGGATGTCGGAAAGGACGAACTGTGGAATGGCAGGAGAGCGTAAAAGACCCTATGCGTAGCAGCAAAACGGTGGTTAGCCCGGGCTCAGCTGTTCAGGAAATGCTGTATAGAAACCTATACCCTCAGGTAGCGGACGTGGGGCGACCTGGTGCTAGGCGGGTCTCTGGACATCCGAACATCAATGCTAACTGAAAACAAATGAAAGACCCAGAAATATATACTCCCAGAGAGAGAGAAACACCGGAAGGACAGCAAAACACCGGAAACAACAGAACAGAGTAGGAGCACACCTATCAATACAACCAATCATTTTTAGTCTAAATAATAAACGCAAAATTTATGGTCATCCAAATGATCACAACAAGCTACCTATCATTAAATTCTCAAAAACAGGTTGAAAAAAGCCCTAAACAAGTGCTGGTTAAATTTTGTCATGTAGTGTAATTAGAAAAGGCAATACAGACCAAAATAAATATGGAATTCTATTCCAAATGTTTAAAGATTTTGCCTGGCTGTTTACTGAATTTAGTCAAACCTGCCATCAACAATCCTAGCAGCTACTTTTCAAAGCCAGTGTTAGATGAGATATGCGAAGTGATATCGTCAATAGATTTCAAGAGAAATTGACCCAGCCAATTTAATAATTCCCCTTATGTCCTGGGTTGTTTGTGGCCAAGTAAACAGTACCTTTATTACTTCCCATGTAGACTTTTGCTAGAACTGTAGTTTCTTGAATACCAAAATTTGCTTGCACAGATAGCTGAGTTTTTCAAGAGTTAATCGACCCTCATACAAGTCTTTTCTAGAGAACATAGTCACACAGAATTGCTCAAAGAGTAAGCAAACAGTGGTCTGGAAGCAACGATTTAGCTCTTGTTCACAAGCTATTGTGATTCAGATTCCCAGAGCACATTCCAATGCAAACTGCAGTTGGAATTGGAAGGTGTTGGTAAAGTGCAATGTATTATTAAATCAACTATATGCCATGAAGGAAAGTCTATAAGTAGAGGTGGACATTATTGGGCGGTACTTTCATGCATTCGGTAGAAATTTAGATTTAAGGCAAATGATCAAAACATCACAACACAGAAAACACATAGCATAGACTAAACTAATGTTGTGTTTGTTTTCTAGAAATAAATGAGGCATCAGACAGAGACATATTTTGGTCAAACCATGTACTCACAGTTGAGAATGCCAATACTCATGAAACACAAAAAAACCTGGACCCACTGAACAGTTACATATAAACTCTACTGCATAGTAAAGAGGCACTGAAAAAGTCTTTGAATAGCTTGCAATCAGTGACAAAGAAACAGACAGCCTTACCTGTAACAATACACAAGACTTTCAAGACCCTTCTGGGAACTAAAGCTATTTACATTTCCAAAAATACCCATAGATGCCAAACCAGGTAAAATTGACATAGAATCTGAAATTAGAGAATTTCTCGCGAAACTTCCATCATCCAAAATTGAACTCCCAACCCATGGAGGTTTTCTTGCAGTTAAACAAAGTTTTTCCTCCCCCCTGTGCTGTGCAGAATTTATGTGTCCAAAGGATAATAGGCCAGACAGCTGAAGCAGCATTTGAATGCTGTCTGAGTAGTTCTACACTCAAAATAATAAAAGCTGATATGATTTAAGAGAACATCTGTAGTGTTTTGATACAGAACACCTGCAAGGCATCTTTACTTCCCAGTCTATCGGAATGCATGGGGGGAATCAATTATCAACTGGTATTATCAACATGTGAGCCATCATTTCCACATTACCGGATCAAATCAAAAAGGCTCCATACCATGTCTGTGGCAGAGCCACCTTCCCAGGAAAGACACATCACCACTGAAGGTCTATTCAATATTTTGGCCATTTCAATACACTCTAATAAATTTAATAAAGCAGAAAACCAAAGTTTGATAATATGTCTTACATTTACACCCCAAACAATTATCCCATAGACAGTAAGGAAAATATTGTGAAATTGACACTTTATTTCAAACCAGAAAGGATGATCCAGTGGAGAAGTGTTAACAATGCCCACATTGCAATAACATGCCCTTCAAGACAAGTCTAGTATCGGCCGCTAAATGGTCCCTACAAACCCCAGCAACATTGGCAAAGAACACTCATCTGGCAAAACCATGGTTATATACTATTAGTTGGGGGTCTGTAGAACAGATCTGAGTCACTTTTTGAGTAAGCACAAAGTTTGGTTTGGTTGAGAAGGGAATGAGTCCATCACTGCATGGTCCCAGTCTGGGAACAGCAAGTAGTCTTAGTAATCTCGGCAACTTTAGCAAAGACTCTTATCTGGCAAAACCATGGTGATTTTCTATTAGCTGAGGGTCTGTAGCGTAGGTATGAGGTATATTTGGAGAGGCACAAATTTTGGTTTGGTCGGGAGAGAAGAGAGACCACTCCCTGTCCATCACTGCAAGCTCCCAGTCTGGGAACAGCAAGTGTTCTAATAAACCCCAGCAACATTGGCAAAGATGCTTATCTGGCAAAACCATGGTGATTTTCTATTAGCTGAGGATCTGTAGCGTAGATCTGAGTTATACTTGGAGAGGCACAAATTTTGGTTTGGTCGGGAGGGGGTGAGACTACTCCCTGTCCATTGCTGCACGGTCCCAGTCTGGGAACAGCAAGTGGTTATATAAACCCCAGCAACTTTAGCAAAGACACTTATTTGACAAAACCATAGTGATTTTCAATTAGCTGAGGGTCTGTAGAGTAGATTTGAGGTATTTTTGAAGAGGCACAAATTTTGGTTTGGACAGGAGAAGAGTTAGACCACTCCCTGCACCATCACTGCACGGTCCCAGTCCGGGAATGGGAAGTGCTCTATAAACCCCAGTAGTTTTGACAGAGACACTAATCTGACAAAACCATGGTGATTTTCTATTAGCTGAGGGTCTGTAGAGTAGATCCGAGGTATTTTTGAGTAGGCACAAATGTTTGTTTGGTCGGGAGGGGGGTGAGACCACTCCCTGCCCATTGCTGCATGGTCCCAGTCTGGGAATGGGAGGTGCTCTATAAACCCTAGCAGTTTTGACAGAGACACTTATCTGAGAAAACCATGATGGTTTTCTATTACCTGTGGGTCTGTAGAATAGATCTGAACTACTTTTGGAGAGGCCCAATTTTTTGGGGGTCAGGAATGATACTTTTTCCTGTCTAGCAGTGTACAGCTCTGTGTCAATTTGCAAGGAGGAAGTGATGTAAAAACACCAATAAGATTGTAAGAAAACAAAAAAATAATGAAGAACGGCAATGTCCTATTACCTGTTTGGTCTATTTATCACATTCCACCTAGTTGTGAGGATGTATAAATTGTTGTTGTGCTATAAATGTGACTTTAACTGGTCCAAGATGATTCTTTATGAGGCAGGTCTTAGGGGACTTTTATTTTGAAAGGTGCTGCCAAGCTAGTTTCGCTTAATGTAGCTTGCTTCACGCTACTGTCTGTGACATGGTGGCTTTTTTTTTTTGTCTGATACCTTGCAAATGTTGAACTTGCAGATCCGTGTTGGCTTATGTAAATCTACATTTGTGAATGCAGCTTGTGTAGAAACTACTAGGAACCGTGTGCTTTAGTGTATAGTTATAAGTACCTATGCAAAGAGAAATGTATTTATTAATAATTATGGGAGGCTACGGAGTGATGGCCGATGAAGGTACTAGTAGTATTGACTACTCTGTACACGAAGCCTGGAATGAAGCTACAAATGTCTATCTTCTCGTTATTCTTGTCAGCTTTGGCCTTCTCATTTATGCTAGAAAGTAAGTCAATTCATATAAGTGCTTCTCTTTTAGGTTTTTGTTTGATGTTGCTGAGAAATTGAGCTATTTGTACAATTTGATGGTAGGCTTCTGCATAAAGTAAAACACATTTTCTGTCGGTGTAGCTGCCATATAAATGCTATAAACATGTATGGTCACGTCTTTTACACAGTCAGATTTTAAGCTATTCTACGTTGTTTTAACAACGCAATCTAGATAGTGTCATTGATTAAAACTAGTCGGTCTGGCAGTTCCATTTCCCGTGTAGCTGTACTGCTGTAAAAAATCAACCTTGATGTTAAATACAGGTTTTCCGTGATTTGTTTACTATTAAAAATAGTTTGCAATGTTTATAAAACGGAAGTGTAATGAGCAAACAGTTTTACTTATTTATGAAACGTGGGTTTTGAGAATGAATTTCCTTTCTATTGCTAACGTGTTTGTTTTGTGTATCCTTCATTTAATAACATTGTTAATCATTTCACAAGCAGCAAACCTTACACACAAAAATTCTTAATTTTACAGAGTTCAGCAGCCCGGCAAACTCGTAAGGGCTCAATTTCACCTTCCAAGATTACAATTGAAATGTAGGGCCCTTGATCTCAGGAAATGAGTACTCACAACAATCAACCGCGACTGTAATATAAATAGTGGTATCTGACTGCTATATTTCCCTTAAAACATTTTTTTAATTAATAATTCCACTTTGGTTCCTTTTGTTGTCTTATAATTTTTAATCAAAATTGCGAATTTTCAAAATTAATTATATTAATATAGGATTTAAATAGTTCAGTTATAACAGATATAATGAGAGAGAAATGAAAAATATAATAAAGTACTATTATTCAATCTCTGATGTTGAGTGAGTGTCTCCATTCTTGTTCCATTTGGTTATGTTGGAGACCATCAAAACCTTTACACTGTATTGATGATGATGACTTCCTTTGTTTTCACATTTTAAGCATGCCACCAAAAAAGTAAAATTCCTAGGACTGTAGTGTTCCTTATAATATTCCCTTTTTTAACTTAAATGGTTTCTCATTTTAGGTGTCAAGGGAGCATTGTTGATGTAGCATTCACCTCTGGCTTGTAGCTCTTTTTGTGTGCAGTTCGCATGTTATTTCCTGTGTCCATGTGGATTTTCTCCATATTATCTGATTTTCTTCCACTATTCAAAGGCATGCTGGCTAGATTAACTGTTGTCTCTAAATTGTCCCTGTGTGTGTATACATTATAGATGGTGTAGGCACCCTGCTGCCTCATCCATGGTTTTGTACTTCTTATACTTTGTTCTTCCAGGAGACGCTGCAGGCTGCCACTACTCTTAGCTGGAATAAGTAGCTTTTAACAGAAAATATGGATGGGTTTGCTCATTTTCATAAGATTGATGACATTTTTTATTTATGTTTTCAGAAACAAAAGAAAAATAACAAGGATTTTCACCTTGCCACCAACTGTAGGAATAACACCAGAGCCTAACTTCTATGACAGCTTGCAGAAAGTGCGACTACGACAACAGTTAGAGATGTACTCCGCTGGTGAGAAAGATACTTCTTTTATTGCAAAGACATACAGTAGATTTATGTTATTGAATTTCTTAACTATTATAAAACCTACATAACATTTCATAGTTCAATTTTTACTTTTCAAAATGAATCAAACAATGGAACAATTTAACCAAGATGAGGCATCTTTATTTTAACTGCTCTTCAGACATATTCACCTCTCAATAAGACAAGAGGGAAAACATCATACAATGGAAATAGTAACAAGCTGGATAAAGTTTTGCTTAATACAATTCCAAAGATCTTGTAATTCAATAATAATATTATTGTACAAAGCAAATGTATTATATTTGTTATAAATAATTGAATCCCAGAAAACATAAGAGTCAAATTTATTTACATCTTTAAGTATTTCTTTGAATAAAACAATTCTACAATAACAAAGGAACAAGTAATAGTTTTATTCCATGCTGAAAAGAGAAAACACAACGTTTCAGCTTGTTTAGGTGTGTATTCTATAATAACAAGTAATTGAATTATTCCATGCTGAAAGGAGATGAAAGAAAACACAACGTTTTGGCCGTAGAGCCTTCTTCAGGTGTGTCACAAACCTGAAGAAGGCTCCACTTCTGAAGTGTTGTGTTTTTTTTCTGCTCTTTTCAGTATGGAATAAACCTATTACTTGTTCCTTTGCAGACTACGTATGCTGATGAAGCTACCCACCTGAACTTCTATAATAATATACCCTTTGGAAGTGTAATTGAAGTCTCTGGAACTACATATAGGCCTCTTAAAGTGTATAAAAGGAAATACTACATTGAAGACAATCAATGCACTCCAAAAATTTCGGGTCATGGACATCGCACATTGGGGGTTGGCTATGAAAGAATCAACAAAATGCATAATTTACACAGTTAAATTTAAAGCTACTGGTAAAGTGGCATTGTCTCAGTTGGTACCACAGTCTATGAAATAAGTAATAAGTAATTTTGGAGTGCTCAGTTTAAATAGCGTTTCTGTTGCTTTTGTTTCTGAGATACAGTGCCTTTTTTTTCCCCGATTGCATGACATCACTTAGCCCCCCTACAACAGCATAGGAGAGCTGAACTGGTCTCATTTGTTAATGCTTTTTTGCTGCCAGTTTGTGGTGTTGAAAGTAGCTTCCCAGCTGCTTTCATTTCCAAGATCTGGTGCCTCTTCTTTTTTCAAGTCTCACTTAGCCCCCCTGTAATGTCGTAGTAGAACCAGACCAGTTATATTAATTAGCGCTCCATTTATGCCATTAAAAGTAGATTCCCAGCTGCTTTAGTTCCTGAGATGTACTTTCTTTTTCGGGTAATCACTTATCATATACAGCGATTCCAGTAACCTCATCTGTTAAGTTCAAGCACTCTGTTACTGGTGCGAGGATAATGTCTGCTATTTGGTTTCTCTGTTTGCCCAGAGGCAGCTGTTAATTTTGCATTTAATACATTTTCTGTGCATTTGTGTGAACAGAAAAATTAAATTTGTCTCCAATATCATACCCTAATCAGAAGTGTTGCTGGTTAAGCCTTAAAAATTAGCAATCAATTGTATGTTCCTAAAAAACGCTTTAACTAGCACACCTTAATACTTTGTAGCTGTGTGCTTTTTTAAATCTGAAAAAATAACCAGTTTCTCATTGTGTCCTTCTTAAATAAATATGCAAATCAAGGGACATTTAAAGATTCGATCCATCTTTAGAGCAACACATTTAAAAATAATTAGGAACTTCCTGTATTCCAAGACCATTGTTTTTATATTTTTTATGCAATGCAAATTCATAAATGTGAAAAAGAACCAGGATTTGTTTTAAAGGGGCACTATGTCCTAAATTGACACAGGTAATTCTTAACACATCTGCAAAACAGTATTGGAAACTTTACAGTCTCATATATGCAGATTGCAAAAATATTGGAAAGATATTTTAATTTTCAGAAAAAAATAACTAAAAATATATCTAACGTCTTAAAAAACAGTCATTGTCATTGTCTTTGTATTTACAACACTCTTGCGTGCAAAAGTAGTACGATTATGTAACAGTCCTCATATCTGTGTATTCCTTGTCAATCTTTGGTGTAGAATACAACATCTGAAGACTCAGATGTGACTGCCTTTGTAAGGTGTAAGGTGTATTCCATTAATATGAGTGGGTTTTAACAACGATCTTCACTGGTGGTGAGGATTATTGTAGTCTCTCCCTTGCTTTTCAGAAAGTACCAATGGTAGTTTAGTAACCACCCTATCATTGTATTATATTATATTTTACAAAAGGTTTAAATTGTTTAATGTGCCAGAGTTGGAACAGGTTTAAAGATTTTTTAAAATTTGTTGTTACATCTACCTTTAACTGTTGGAAGAAAATGTAAGCTGTTCCACTGTTTAAAGCTATGGTTTTCTTTTCACTTCTAGCAAGAAAATATGAACAGCAACATCACGTTCAACCCGATAGTGTGCAACTTTCAATGGAGTGAATACTGAAATTGATTTTTATTTGTATTAATTACATGAAAGTGTAACCATTTTTTTAATAAGAGCGTAAGGATGTGCAAAAAAAACTTTATGTAACATTTTCTTCAAATGAAATTAAAAATCAGTAGCTAACATAAATTAGGGAACATCCTCCTGTTATAAACAAAAGGCCAGTACTTTGTGATCCTTATTAAGCGTGACATTAATTTAACTGATCTTGAGGTAAACTGCAAACCTGCCAACAATAACCAAACAAGGAGTTTCTCTGTTGTCCTTTGCCCTTTGTTCCTGCCATTGCAGGAACTTTGTAATATATTAAGTATCAATAAGTGTATATTTATATATAGTATGTTATTCCTGTATGCTTTTCAAAATTTGGTTATTAAAGGTTTTGGTGTCATTAAATTGATTGATAATGCCTCATTGTCTATGAAGCTGTTGATTGCCCAGGTGATCCCGTTGAATGTCAAATGTAAAAATCAAAAAAGAAAAACATAAATTAATCAATAAGTCCTGCTTATCAAGAGAACAATGCCTTTATGATATGTTTTATGTTGGAGGCTGGATGAAGCCAGCTACTTCTAATCTGGAAACATATTAAAGTAAAATACAACAATCTGTTGATAATAGGTGGTCACACAGTCTACTAGCTAAAGACTTAATGACATAATGACTAAATTGACATTCTAAATTTATCTTTTTGTGTCTATTTATCCCTTTCAAATAAAACTAATACCTGTATGCTTTCCCTAAACTCTTCCTAATTGAGTGTAGCTGGAATTTCAGGGAAATTTTTGTATTTCAGGGGTCACTAGCCCTCATTTTGGAGAGACTTGATCAATCAGTTTTATAGGTCAACTGTTTTTAAACATCAACAACACTGTAAACTATTGAAGAGTCCATACATCTGTAAATCATACTATTTGATATTAGGGTATGTATGTGCTAATTTCTTGCTAACAAGTAAGTCTGCAAGTATCCCCCACTTGGAACATGCCTGAATAATGTTGCATTGCATTCCTTGTGGTGCCAAAAAAAAGGTTAGAAGATCTTTTTTTAGAGGTTTTAGCTAAACCTCTCTCATGAGAGATAATAGTTGCACTGAGATAGCTGTAAAACCATTTCGCCATGAACAAAGTACGCCTGGTGATTCTCAACTCAAGAGAAGAGATTCTCCAAAACCAGAGAAAAGGCCATAAATTTGGGGCCACCTCTCAGTAGGAATGCAAGGAAGGACTCTTGTTAAGCTTTCAGTTTCAAGAAACTTTGCAGCCATATCTTAAAATTGCTCATATGTATGTTATGTGCCATGAACACCATGTTTTACCATTCTATTTATATTAATTGAAGAAACCCTATGGTTATACTTAAAAGAAACATAACTAGCTGCATTAAACTTCAAGAAACAAGGAATGTCTGTGCAAATCCCTGTAGATATCACTTGTTTAGTCTTAAATTAAAGAGCAATGTATTATTAAACAGATTAAACAGAATTCTGGAAAGGAGAATGCTTGAAAAGAAACAAGCATTATGGAAAGGATTTAAAATTTAAAGGTAGTTATGATACTGCCACCAGTATCAGTTATGATACTACCATACCATAGTATGGTACTACCATCCATACCCCCCAAAGGGAGAGGTTTGTAGAGGGATACAAACCTCTCCCTTTGCTTTTGTAGTATATCAGAAGCTTTAATATTTTATAATAATATTAAAATTCATTCCTTATAGGTAATGCCGGCGTCACACTATACAACTTTTCCTAGGATTTTTAGTCATAGCCTTGATTTACATGATCGTAAGAAAATCACAGTGAGTTGCAGCGAGCGCCAGTTTCTGTCAGTTGTGTTGTGTGACACCCTAAGCGACTCAGTCATAGCGCTCTTAACAGCCCCTACAACTCTCTGCTACTTGCTATGATAAAATCAGACTGGTTTGATTTTCTCGTAGTGAGTCGCAAGTCGTAGGGGTGGGCAGTGAGCCAGATGTGTATTTGTGAGATAATGTGCCCCTATATTACACGTTATAGCGCAGTGCTAATTTGTTTCCAGTATTTGTTTTAAAGGGGTTTTATATTTTTAACCGTGTTTTATTTTTGTAAATTTGTTCTATATTCATAAAGAAGAATTATATTTTTGAAGATGTTTATTTGTGGAAAACAGTGTCTGTGTTACATTTTTCAAGATGTTTACATGCTTATTCTCCATGTTGTTTGTTTACTTACATATGGTGCTCTTCTTCCTGTTCCGGTGTGCTCCACGTTGATTGGCTGCCGAAATGAGGAAACCTCGCGCTACTTTCGCAGTGCACGAGATGTGGAACCATGATAAAAAAAGTTGTGAGGGAATCATGTAATTAGTCACCGCCTGCAATTCCTAATTGTAAAGTTTGACACCCTCTAGGACAAAAAAGGCAGCGAGATTCAGCAACTGCAGTCGTTAAATTTGACATGCTCTCTGACTATAAGTTGTGTCGAGTCGTGTAGTGTGACGCCAGCTTAAAGGCATGAAGTCACCTACTTCATTCCCTTACAGAAAGCTACAATGAAAATATTAGATTAAAATACAATTAAGGTCACCATAATTATTTCAGGAAGAAGATGGCTATGATTGTTTGGTATCAAATGAATGGGCAAACCATGTTCTGAAATCTAAATATTAAACCTTTGTGTGTCACTCAGAAGAAGTTAAGGGTTGGACATTTTATCCAGTCTCTCCTGATAGAAGCAATAAACATTTCTGAAATCTCAGATTTGAATTGGCCACCCAGAACTCTGGCACACAAGTCTTTGGTATGTCTTTGAGGCTAATACATGGAGACGAGTTCCTCACTTTGTCATGAAGAGTAAGCCCACAACTGCAGATGAGAAATCTGATCTCCAACACTTGTACCTGTGATCTCATTCTTTTGGCCACTACCCAAACTCATGACTATAGGTGAGGACATAGCTTAACTGGAAAAGTGAGAGCTTCATCTGAAAACTCAACTTCCACTTCACCATTATAGTTTACTGTCAATCCGCTGGTCAATCTTGTAACTCCCTCTTCCCTCGCTTGTGAACATGACTGTGAAATACTTAAACTTTTCCACTTGGGTCAGCTGGTCCCTCCTCACCCGGAGAGAGCAAGCCACTTTTTTGTGGGACAGAAACATGAAGGAAATATTTTCCTGCCCATGTCACACACAGCTGCAGATCTTTCCAATGCATGCCAGAGATTACAGTTGAATGAAGCAAAGAGGACAACGTCATCCACAAATAGTAGAAATGCAATTCTCAAATATACAGACTGGATGGATACATTAAAAGCCTCAGCTGCATCCTGATATTCTGTCCATGAAAATCACAAACTGGAGAGTAAACAAGTCCTCTACCCACTTAGAACAAGCTCAAGGTAACTCAGAGAATGCAGTTTCAGCACTAAAAACTAATAGTTTACTTGCTCTGCAAATTAAGGACTGGATGGCACACTGGATGGTTGTATGAGCCCTCTCACCTCATACAACCACAACTCCTCCCGCAAGACATCCCAGGATACACGGTCGTTAACCTTACCTCCTATGTCCCCTCAAATGTTCATGCGAGCACAGATAGTTGGTGTACTGTTTCACTGCCAGGATGGAATCTGCATTGTTCCTCCAGTATTCGAGGACAGCTAAGACAGAATTGCCTTTCCACAACTCATTGTATAGACTTTTCAGGGCTGACTGAGAATTGTGTCCACTTTTAAAATTTAGGTCCATCAACCCAATCTGCCAAATGAGAGGCACTATTTCTGCATTCCACACAACGCTGAAGAAGTGCGTTAACCTCACCTAACTTTATTATTGACACCCCAAAAAGTGTACAATGCCTTCAGCTTTTCTGGCTGCTTCTCAGCTACTTTCGCAACTCTATCACTACAGATCAGCTTAATATCTGCAGTGACCTCAGTCACAAAAATGTATGCTGTCCCACCAGATGCTTCTGGCACCACCTCCTGGAAGATAATGTTGAGTTAAATTAAACAAATTAAATATTTAATTCATCCCATCACAATGGATTTGTTCCATATCTCTAGAAATTCATGTAATGGTGATCTGCAAAACCTGCTGAGTTAGAGGGCTCCATAACCAGGGTCTGATGGATTTGCTACCACACTATAGACATTAATTTACTTCTTTTTGACATCTCAAGATATCTTTTTCAAGTTATTCATAAATCGTATTTCTTAAACGACGGCAATGACAGCCATTATACACTAGTGAAATTACTCAAGTGTATAATGAAGTTGAAAGTGAGAAATTTCTTCTCATTGAAATAAGGTGGAATTTTACTGTGTACTGTGTGCTCTTTTAAAAAATGTGTTGACCTTCATTGGTGCTCTGGTTAAATAGTTCCTTTCTTTTGATTATATGTATCACATACAGTATGTGGTTGATCTTTATCTGAATAAAAACAGAAAATAAAGAAATTTATTTCAGAAATCAGAGAAAGACTGAACCCTATCTTTCTTGAACACAATGCATGATTGAAAACTATGTTAAATTTGTTTTGTGGTAATATGTTATATTATATGGTTATATGCACTTATTTTGCTTAAATATCAATTGAACATTATGAACACTGGGTTCACCGTATTCTTTCCCATGCATAACTGCTCATACACAAAAAGGTAATATTTCTAAAAATTCAATTAGGTGATAGATATTGTTAAAATAAAAGTTGTGAAGATGTTCATAAATCATTTTATTTAAATTACCTGAGGTTTGAAAGCTCTTTGTTTTCCTTGCAGTTATTGACATCTGAAACATTGTGTCTCAAAACTAAAAAGGCATTTAAATGAACAAGTGAAGGTTGTGGAAATCACGCTTGACAAAATGAAGATAGTTTGATAGCTCTAGGTAATTTGGTTTAAATGCTGTTAAGGTTCCAAAATCTAGTAAATATTCAACTTCATGCTAACTTTACTGCGGTTGAAAATGAAAAAGAATTAATGCAAAGCAACTCAAAAGACAAAAGCAAAAGAAGAACAGAAACCTGCAGAAAAACTCGAAAAGCACTGCAAGATCAATCAAACCAAAAACAGAGAAACACACAATGCCTCAGATATTACAAGATTGTAAAACACCACAAACACCCTAAAGAACCACAAACATACAACTCTCAGAAGCTCAATAAATCAATAGAGGTGTCAATAAATCAAAACAGTTTTGGGGAAAATTTGATTATTTTAAATAAATCAAAACCAGAAGAACTAGCCAACAAAAATGTCCTGGCCTTTATTCATTACTGAGCACAGAGTGCTGTGTCAGATTATGAGATTGGCACTTTGGTAGGAATACCAAAGTGCCAGACAACTGATCACATTTACATCTTGCACCCTTTTACAATCAAACATGTCCACCAAGAAACAATAGAAACATAT